AGCTCTACATCTAACTTGAGGTTCTTGGAGGACCTTGGGCGAGTGAGGAGTCCAACAAGACTTGTCGAGGATTTCGTCTTTTTGGGTTTCGTAGAAGGCTTGTCCCGAATTGATGTTCCCTTGGTAGGCTCCTTTGCTGGGCCTGCCAATGACTTGAGTGACAAGACACTCATTGTCTTCTTGTGCAAACCTTTACCCGCATAACCCGTTTTAGGTCGAAGGCCCTCTTGTTGCGAGGTTGTGTAAGGCGAAATGATTGAAGAGGTTTGCTGGTTACGTTGTATATCCGCGAGAGCGCGATGATGGGTATAATCCGACGGCGATGGCATATCTTCGAAGGCTGGAGAGGCTACAAAAACGTCATTTGGTGAAGTCGCGGGTGAAAGAGTCGATCCGTCAGAAGTTGTGCGCTTATGCATAAATGCTTTCAATACCGAAGCTGTCTTGGGGCGTTTGGAATGTACTGATTCTGGGTAAGGAAAACTGGTAGCCATGATGAAAGCTACTCGGTAGCTATGGAGGAGGTAGGTAGGTCGGTAGGCACCAGGTAGGTATTATTATACTCGAGTAGCTGTATAATTAAAACGGGGTTGTTTTCAAGATATCTACTACCATAGGTATGCGACAATGGAAAACGAAACTTCTGGTATGGATGGTATGGATGTTATGATTTACTGCAAGCACAAGCTAAGCCATGGCAATTCAATCAAACAATAAAAGTAAAGTCAGGTGTGAGTGAAGTGAAGTGAAGTGCAGATAATAAGTAAAGGGTAGACGGGTAAGAGTACGGCGGTAATGTTTTTAATAAGTGTGAGAGGATTTTGAATGAAATGAAATCAATGGATTTAATGTTAATGAAATGGAATTGGGATGAATGAATGGATAGATTGGTGGATGGCTCTTGTGATCAAACCCCATCCGTCAAATCATTCTAATGGATTGATTTGTTTAGACCTGTTTTGGGGGGAATTAGTTTAATTAGTTGCTATGGGCAACATGAAAAAGGAAGTCGCGTATTCATGTGGTGTGAATGTTGGGTGAATTTGGGGGAATTTATGTGTATTTGATGAGTGTATTTGAGTGTATTTATGTATATTGATGGTAAATGTACCTTACTTGGGTGGAGTATTTATGTGTATTTATATATATTTACATGTATTTACATGTACGATATACCTAGGTATATATTTATCTGCATTATGCATTATGCATGCTTACCTTAGATAGGTGGGTAGATTGGTAAGGAAAGTAAATAACGAGTTAGGTAGGTGTGGTGGTGGTAGCTAATAGATAGGTCGACGGAGTTACTACCGGTATTGTGACTACAAGTACAAGTACAACTATATGGATACTACAACTACAACTACAACTACCCACCTACCTACCTACCTAAACATCTACTAATACCAAGCTACCAAGCTCATAATTTCCAAGTTTATTACCAAATTACATCGATGATCAAAAGAAGTCGTGAATAAGTCAAGTATCAGATTACATACATTATTACCTCCCTTCCTCTCTCGGAGTCCTCCCTCCCTCTCTCGGAGTCTATTTCTTCTTCTTCTTACTTCTTCTCCTTCTTCCCCTTCTTCTCATCCAATCATCATCCTTGCTTCTCATGACTGTCTATCATACCATCCATACCTAGCATCTATCTTACCTTACTCAATCTGTACCAAGAATTTGACAATCAATCATTTCAACAGATAAATGGTCAATAATTTCAATAAATCAATGGGTCCCTCGGAACTTTGTCGATAGAAAACTCAATTTTCCATCTATTTCGTTTGTGTGAAGGATTAATAAAACCTCTCACTGGTGCTGCTGCTTTCCTATCATCTAACTCTATGATGATTAGGTATATGCTTAAATCCTTATTTCTCATCTAAATGCTCCAAAACAACTTCTATAAATGCTTCCTTACCTAAACAGAATGAAACCTCTCCTCTAAGATACTGCATTTGTCTACCGAATCCTACCAACTGAAGAGTCCCTTTTGCCGATCGAACCCACCTCTTAATTGACTTTCCGGCTTGATTAGTTTGCCTTGCAAAATGGTAAATTTTACAATCCCCTCACAATCTTCAGGTTTCACTCTTGCTAGCCACATACATTGAGCAGCACCCTTATCCTCATCTTCTCCAGGTACCACTTTCGATGGCATTACATCCCCATTCGTGTTGGCTCTTTCAACACCGTCCAACCCAAACGCGTCAGATCTCCGGTAGATCATGACGTTTGCACTATATTTGTGTCCTCCAACGTGAGATATAAAATATATACCAACTCCTCCTGGTCTATCGTCACCTAAATCGCGAAAAAGTCCCAGCGGTCTCAAATGCCTCTCAAATTCCTTCTTCAGTAGTGGCGCACTTTGTCCACATCTTGCATCTCGAGTCTTCTGCGAACAGAGAAGGACAAGTGCTCGATGGGGTGACGGACGTGATGTGAGTTGTTCTGCGGACGGAAGAGGATCGGGGAGGGACTGGGGTATCGAAATGGGCCCAAGAGGTGTCATATTGGTAGGGGCTTTGTCAATGAACTCTGTAATCAGAGTTGGCACCGATTGTGGAGTAACGTTGTCAATTACGACGAATGCAGGCAATAGAAGTACAGTCGTAGGCTGTGAATAATCTGTCGAATGTGATGGTGTGGGTATGTTGGACGCGGAGAGCATAAGCTTCTACGATGGATCGTCAGCATGTTTCAAAATACAACGATATAGGGCTTTTGGTAGGAGGAAGACAACTAACCCCATTGCTTGGTTTAACAGAACCATGGTCGATTGCTTGCATTACACTTCCCTTCTCATCTGCGACATCTCTCACCCAATCTGATTTTCCCGTCGCAACTAGAATATGTGTACTCCATCCTTTGACATGACCATATAGCTCATCATCCTCATCTATCTTGAAGCCTTTTGGATATTTTACATGACACGATTCGCAATCATGATCACAGTCATCTCCATCCACAGCCGGGTCAACTTTTGGGAATATTTTCTCGATGGGAGTATTTTCCGAGGGCGTTCCAGGAATTGGTGTGGATTGACCCGATATAGTTTGCTTGGCAGAATTTAAGAGGGATTTGAAAGTGGAAGTCATATTTTTGGTCTTCTTGCGCGGGGGATTAGTCGCAACTCTCGTGGCATCATGGCTGGTTTTATTTCCAATGCTCGACATTTTGGTGGGGTCCAATACTAAAACAATGCTGTACGATAATTGGTCGCCAGCTGATCGTCATATTCCGGTGAATGTACGGAATACCTGGTAGTGCCCGAGCAACGTGGAATGGAATCTCTTATCAGATCCGCTTTGGTTTTTATCTGATGGATTCTGGTATGTATGCGTGAAAGAGCCTCCGAACAAGAGCGTTGGCCGTAGAAATTGTATCGATTTGAGATCTAATATTCGATATTAGGATTGCGGAAGATGGAAGATGGAAGGAAGAGAAAGAAAGTTTTCAATACGTTTATTTCTCATTCTTATATAAATTGTCTGACATGCCACCAATTTGAGGCTTCAATTCACCGTCGGTGTTTTGCTTATATCCGTCTCGAGGATCTGTATCTAATCAGCAAGCGCACCACAATTCTTCAACGTAAACTCCTTCGGTCCCGAACTTCCACCGACGCAATTGAATAAATCCGCAATATCCATTTCACATGATTGGCCACACCACCATCTAATCTAATCATGCCGCCCAAAGTTATATTTCTCACAGGAGCACCTACATATCACTCACTTAGCTGGGACGAATCAAAACTTCAGAGTGACTTCACCGATCCCTTCATCCAATTCCTCCATCTCCCTCATTCATGTCCGAACTCTGCATCACGGAATAACAATACGAGCGTCTTGGAATTCTCCATCGCTCAAAACCCAGAATGGCGTGAACTTCCTCTTGAACGAAAACATCTCACCACGGGAGCATCTCAAGATCATGCTTTCCAACCGTTGCATGGTGGTCATGCTTTAGATTTCTTCTCCGCTACAAATTTTCTCTCGCAATCCCAAGGATATTCACAATCACTGTCTAATTTGGATTCGTACATTTCTATTGATGATGAAAATTATGATGATCAAGAGGTAGATGGGGTACTCTCTCAATTCTACGAACATTCCTATGCTATCCACGATATCCCCTCGTCTCAAATCACCTCCTCGGATTTTGATTCTACATCATATTCTACATCCGGATATGATTCTCAATCTCTGTTCCCACAATCTGGGGAAAATCCACAAGTGCCGGTGGCAGGTTACTTGACAAATCTAAAGGATATGCCACATGCACAACATCTTTCTTCAATAGTCCCGCAAACTATGACGGTTAATCTGATCGTGGGGATTATTTCAATTTCAGAGCCGAGAGCAATATCTACGAGACAAGGGGGAAATGTATCGCTTGTTGAGATATTAGTTGGTGATGAAACGAAAAGTGGATTTTCGATCAATTTCTGGTTGTCAGGAAAGGGGAAAGAAGAAGTCAAAGAAGTATTAGAAAATCTGAGGGTTCAGGATATCGTGTTGATGAAAAATGTAGCGTTGGGGAGCTTTAGAGGGAAAGTTCATGGTCAGAGTTTGAGGAAGGATATGACGAAGGCTTGGTTGATGTATAGGGAGAAAATTGATAGGAGTGATGTGGGAGGATGTTATGGGAAGAGAGATTTGGAGAGAAAAGAGATAGATGTACAGATGGCGAAGGTTAAGCGGGTGAGAGATTGGGTGGTGGGTTTTGTGGGGGTTGCGACGACCAATAGACGGGGTGTGAAGAGAGTTAGGGAAGAATTACCGCCGGATACTCAATGATTAAATGGTTTAGCATGTCACGAGTTTGGCCTTCTGATTTGAAAGTACGTACTTGGGGTGCTATCTCCTTCTCAAACCCTCACCCTATCCAGCATCTTCCCAAATCGATATCCAAATCTCTGTTATCCTCAATCCTACTCGATCAGCTCCCTCAATCCCAATCACACATCCAATTCTCCCACTCAAGAAAAATCACGCCCCCTCCCCCTCAAAATTCCACCCCAAAAACTCTCCCACCCTATGTCCCACCTCCCCATTATTCCCGATCCTTCCAATCTCCACAAAACAAACTGGACATTTCGCCGGCGGATTTATCGAATTCGCATGCGGAATCCACTCCTCCAAACACTCCGGACAGAACCGATGTCCACACGGTCTCACAATCGAAACCCGCGTCGGTAACTCCTGCATACAAATAGGACAAACCGGCACCCCATTCGCATCGCGCTGTCCCAGCGGCGGCTCATCGGGAAAGAGCCCGAGAATCCACGATGGTGTGTTTGGAGCATTAGCCCGGGGAATAACTCTCGATCGCTGACGAATCCCACGCTGAAGAATCGCATGGCGGATTGTGGCTTGTATTTCTCGTAATGCGAAAAGTTCCAAATCGGGGAAGAGATGAGGGAGGAGACCTGGAGGGAGTTCGTTGTGCATGGGCCAGGGAACTTCAACGCCGTTCAAGAAGGATACTATGCGATTCCGGAATTGTAGTGCGGGGAGGGGCAGATGTGCTGCTTGATCGTAGTGCATGAGGAGATCGAAGGTGTGGGGAAAGGTACGGAGATTTTGGCGGGTGATGGGTCCGATGGCGATGGGGAGGAGATTGGCTGGTTGAGGTGGGCTGTTGGGGGGATTCTCGTATTCTTCTTCTTCTTGTTCGAGGGGGTATAGTATATTTGGGAAGGGGAGAGGATCTCCTCGTCCGGCTGCTAGACGATTCTCGCGGCGTTGACGGATGATCTGGTTCTCGGGAGAGGCAGCGGGTGGAGTGCTATCGTTTTCCTCTCGTTGATTATTCATCTTGAGTTGATGGTTCTCTTTTGTCAAGATCAATAGTCGTGATGTCGAATAATGAAAACGTCTGAATACTCGATGTTGCAGCAACAATAAACACAAACTTCTGAATCGAGCTCCTCTTACCTTTGAAGTACTCTGCGAATACGACCAGCATCCACTATCTTCCGACAACTTCGAACTCCAAGAAGAACTCGAAAAGATCTCTGCTTGAAATATAGATATACATACAGTTATACAGTTATACCCAATCTAAACTAGCTAACTAGCTTGAAATAGATTCACTTCAAAGATTCTCCCATATCAATCAATCAATCAATAATTCACCAATCAGTATTCTTAGTATTCTTTCTGCAAAACATCATTCAAGAGAAATATTCTATTCATGTCCGGGTATTCACTGTATAGGACAGGTACCTAGATAGCTAGATAGGTATGATGAGGAATACCCCTCCCTCCCAAGATCTCTCATGGATTCTCAATGAGAAAATGTGAGTTTTCCATCTCTATATCCATTATTCGATGAAGGAGGCTTTCGAGTGAATACCTAGGTACCTATATAGAGTTCGCGATGTCGTTTGTGGTGGTCTGGAATTTTTGAGATTGTGATTGTGATTATGGTATTATGTACCTAGGGATGGTTAGTTGCGGAAATGGATGGTTGGCGAGTAATTGGATGTAATTATATGTATTTATGGATGTATGGATGTATTTATTTATGGATTTGATAGATAGATATGTAATTATCTTCTATTGGGTAGGTACTAATAGTATTTATAAGAAGTTAGTTAGTTACTTGTTAGATACTTTTAGGAGTTAGCTCCAGCTACCTGTGAAAACCCCTAAAGGAATCTTCAATCGAAATACGATGAAGTGTTCTGACAGTTATGTATGATTCCCGGATAGAACGAATCGAAACGAAACGAAACATAATATTATGGAATAAATGTAAGTCTTACTTTCATCTCTTTTCACGAAGAATATTTCACGAAGAACACACATACCTACATACCTACATACCAAACGCATAATTTCCTCTTCAAAATGAGAATATTCGCAGAGATGACAGATGATGTTATTATTTATATGTATATATACAATTCCGTACCGAATATAATGAAACTCGCTTGTATCTCGAATCAAGCGTCGATAGTTTGTAGTGAAGAGGAATGATTATTAATTAACTCTATAGGTACCTAGGTAGGGTATGGAATAATACCTATGGAATAATAGGTAGCATGTATGTGACTGTCTGATAGTAAGATTACAAATGGTATTATTCAATTTAGTTACTTGTAAATGTATGTGTATTGCAGTACAGTACAGTATAGTACAGTACACAAATCCTCAATCTTCCTCGAGAGTCAACCTCCATTCTATCCTTCAGTCCTTGCTCCATCCCCCACTATCCCTCAGAAATCAACTATCCCTCCAAACTCACTCCCAACTCCCAACTTCCAACTCCCAACTTTCTCCCTACCCCCTCCTCAAAGCCTGGTTAACCCTATCCATCAACCCCCCACCTCTCCCCACCCTCCTAATCTTCATCGTACAAACCGGACATCTAATCTTCTGTCCCTTTCCTTTTCCCTTTCCCTTTCCCCCCTCCATCCCCCTCAAATGCGCCATCCAATCCTCCAAACACGTGGTGCAAAAGCGATGTTTACACGGTCTTGCAATCGCTACTTTAGGAGGTAGCTCATCTGTACAGATTGGACATGTGGATTGCTCTTCTTTCTTTCCGGGAGTAGATGCATTTCCATTTCCATTTCCATTTCCATGTTCAAAGAGCGCCAACATCCACTCCGGCGTATCACCTTTATCACGTTTATCACGAGGGAACTTCGCATTCGCATTCACAATCGCAACCCCATCCTGCGCCGCACCTCCCCCTCCCCGTCTCTGCAACTCCACCTCCCGATCAATCTCCGCCATCGTCGTATGCCCAAACCCCCTCTCCATAATATCCGGCCAGGGCACCACCGCACCTGCGAAAATCGCATCCATGTTCTCCCGAACTTGTGCTCTCAGATGCTGGAGATCCGGGTTGCCTTGGAAACGGGGATTGAAGTAATTTATAACTTCTTGCTGGTTTGCTTGAGGGGGTTCAAGATGCTGGTGGGGGGCGAGAGGGTTTGGGTTTATGAGCTCGTTGGGAGTGGAGTTTTGGGTATTGGATTGAGTGGTTTTTGGTTGGAGGGGCTTGAGGTTGAGTAGATAGGTCTGTAGTTGGTAGAGGAGTGTTGTGATCATGATGAGGGAGAAGATGAATATAGCGATGAAAGCCGCAAGTGGATTTCTCTCAATTTTTCTGTTTCGAGATTCCATTTTTAGTTGAATGTCTGTCGATGTCCCGAAAATTGATCTTAGATATCCAATACCAGTAGTTAACGGTTTGTTGTCCATGGCGTCTTCTATGACTGGTGATGGATACTATTCTTCTTGTATTTTGGGTTCTCTAGTGATGACTACTTTGAAAATTGACTCGGATGATGATTATTGAGATGTGTATGTAGATGAGAATCTACATGAAATTAGATGCTAAATGAATGGAGCGAGCTTCAACAGAGAGCTCCTTATATCAAGACCAATATACCACAAACACAGATCAAACACCGTAGACTTGCCTCAAGAGTATTGATCCATAGTAACCGTACACAAGGTTTGCGCGTGAATGCGTGTTCGCTGATATCTTCTTTACCGTATCTCGCTAGCCCAGAAGATCAGTTGAAGTCAAACATTACAACTCGACATGAGTACATCGATTCGAAGTATGATAATGAGTTTGGATCCATTGTGAATGAAGTGCTTTAAAGTTGCATCCTGAGAACAGAGCTTGATGATATAGAGGCTAAACATGAACTGAACTTTTTGGCTGTCGAAATACGTAGAGATGGAAATTATTCACTCGGTGGATAATTGGAGCCTCTGAATCCTCATGAGAAGATGAAAGACTCCAGTGCCTGATGCACGCTCACACCAGAACGATATAGCGGCTAACACAATAAACCCAAATATTCACTTGATACAACCCAATGACAGAAATTAATTACGGCATTAAGCGATCTATTAACCTGTAAAAAATTTGGTCTCTTCTCTCAGCCCAGCTAAAAAATCTTCATATATTTTCGCGGATACAAGATGGAGCCATTTCAGTTCAAAAGATCAAGCAGAATGTCAGACAGTAGCAAATAAGCAAGGAATTCCTGAGATCGATAGTGATAGCCAACTTGGCGTTTTCTCAAATCGCTCAAGGTCAACAATTGTGGGATATACAGCAAAACAAGTCCCTTGACTGATTACCGAGATGCGATTTCTAACCAGCCTGGATTGAAGTTCAATTTTGTAAAAATTTCGATTCTATGCAATAGATTTCCAATGCCACACTGCTATATTCGTACAACCATGCGCCGTAATCTTTCCGCGAGACTGTTACTTGCCCTAAATCCCAATATCCTAAATATACCGCTCAAACCTTTACTCAGCGACCCAAACAGCAGCCATACCCATACCAGTACCCACACACATACTAGTTACGCCAACTTTTTGATTCGTTCTTCTCAACTCATATAATAATGTGCTGACTTGTCTAGCTCCGGTACATCCGAGAGGATGTCCGAAAGCAATCGCACCACCCTTTGGATTGATCTTCTTCTGGTCGAGTCCTAACTCATTTGCGCACCAAAGACATTGACTTGCGAATGCTTCATTGATCTCGAAAATATCCACATCATCCTTATTGATGCCGGTCTTTTCGAATACCTTTGGGATAGCAGCCCAAGGACCGATACCCATAAGTAAAGGAGCTACACCCGCAATAGATGCGGCAACGTATTTACCAAGGATGGTTTGACCGAGTTTCTCGGCTGTGGAACGCTTCATCAAAAGAACTGCGGCAGCTCCATCTGAAATTTGAGAAGCATTTCCGGCATGAATACTACCGTCCTTGGCAAAAGCAGGCTTGATTTTGCCTAAGCTCTCAGCGGTGATACCTGGTCTAACACCATCATCTTTGGCAACAGTGATGTCCTTTGTTTCGCCAGTTTTTGGGTCTTCCCATTTGACAGTCAGAGGAGCAATCTCCTCATCAAAGAGACCCTCTTGTTGAGCCTTGAGTGCCTTTTGGTATGATGAAGCCGCAAATGCGTCTTGTAGGGAACGTGGAATTCCCTTGTCTTTGGCCATGTTCTCGGAAAGAACGCCCATAGGCACTTTGCAGTTCGCAGATTCTGGGTGGGACTCGAGGAGTTCAGAGAATTCTGTTACTGCACCAGGTCTGCGAACTTAACGTTAGCATTTAAATCTGCACAGAAGTAGAGGAGAGACCCATACCCATATTGCAAACTCATGCTTTCGACACCTGCACCAACACCAATATCAATCATGCCGGACTTGATGGCATTTGCTATATCCACACAGGCTTGTAAACCAGATGAACATTGTCTATTCAAACTCTTGACTGCTGCAGATACAGGAAATCCTGCAGCTAAAGCGGCGGCTCGGAATTCAGTAGCTCCACCTCCAGGAGGAAGGACCGATCCAACAGCGATATCTTCAACTAGCCCCGGGTCGATTTTCGATCGTTCAATGAGAGATTTAAATGCGCCAACGAGTAAATCTGCTGCTGCTGTATCTTTGAAGCCTCCTTTGCCACCCTTTGTAAACGCGGTTCGCAGACAAGCTGTTACGACAATCTAGAATAGAAAATGTTAGCAATTGGTCGAGGGACATCGTTTGAAACAATAGTTATTCTTACATCATCTGGATGCTTCTCCAAGAGCTTCGCGCGGCCACTATCACCCTCTGTGGGTGCAATAGTGCTTTGTGATCCAGCCAAATGGCCGGAAACTTGCCCAAGACGTTTTTGTGCTATGTACACTGTCAGCTTTGTTTGCAGTCCTTCACTTGCGATGGATACTTACCAGCTGACATTTTGGCAATATAATAATGTAATATGTGATCAAAAGTTTGTTCTATGCAATGAGAAGTATTGGGATAGAAAAGATGTTATATGAGAAGGAGGAAAGAAGAATACACGTCGGGGTTGGATGTCGATGGATAGTAATATTGAGAATGCCTCGGTAGGAATTCAACCAATCATGGACGTTAACGGCGATTTCACACTCACATGCTTTTACAAGGTTGGTCTCAGAACTCTCAGAACTCTCAGCCGAAACCAGAACTGAAGATTGTCTGACATACATTTAAACATTGTAAGGTTGACTGGAGGTCACGCACTGATTAGTGAAAAGGCAAGCAATCTTTCACATGTGCTGGGATGGGAAGAAGCTCTACTGGAACGGCAATTGCTTTGCTTTTGTCTCACGTGCCATGTTTTTTTTAATATTGCTCTCTCTTCAAAGCACTGATCCAGCGTTTTGACATGTGAAGTTCAAGGTTTCTTTAATCATCCATGTGGTGTGATTTTAGTGATTTTCTGACTCAAGCGAGTTTTTAATGGCGTGTGTTTAAAATATTCATTAAAACCACCTCTTCAGAAAACACAAGTTCCACTTCTCTCAATGCTCGCTCCCCGGCGTTTGGTAGGATGTGTATGACGATATGCTCTGCATATCTCACATACAGTGGGGGCAATCTGATGAATCTTCTCTCTCTTTCAATAGCTCCAGGACTCGGATGACTGCTGAGTATAATAGTCAACGTGTTGTCCTCGTCAAGGTACAACCAGTCATGTTCAAAGACATTATTGCCTTTTTGCTTTACTTCTATAGATTGACCATTGGTATTCACTCCCGAGATGTAATGTAGCGTCCATTCCGTGAATTTTAGGTCAAAAAGTGGAATCACAGCATGAAGTTGACGATGATTATACCAAGGCAAGTGGAACTCAACGTCTAGCTCTTCAATATTTAATCCATCGAAGATACCTCTCATCTTTGTCAAGAGCTGGGTTGCGTGTTCAGTGTCCTCCCCATAGTCTATTTCGTTCGAGCGATTTGTACGCCCACGGAGTCCTGGGTAATAAGCAAGCCGGCAGTTTATTTTGATCTGTATTTTTCTCACGCATCCCAAGAATCCGGGGCGGTGCTCAAGCAGAGATGTGAAACCCGTTCCTTCAGTTTGCTCTCTAGCTCGTTCTTCATAGTCGATGGTTATGACGAGGGTGTCTCCGCCCGAAATTGCCAAATTCTCATGCTCTGGGATTTGAGCAATGCCTCTGCGTTGTGGCATTACGGTGTTTTCCCAATTGCGAGAGCTTTTTCACTTGCAAATTTCCCAAATCAAAAATATCTAAAGTCTATCGATAAGTCTCTTTCCGGAGTAAATGGCGATATAGAAACGGAGATGGTGTTTCGGAATCTCCTAAAACACCAAGTAAGAAATTATTTCATAAAGCATTATAGCACCATTATAGCAACAATAGACGTGCAGGTATATCGAGAGTACTACCACCTAATAGATCGTTCCAGTCCAGTCAGCTAAGTTTCCCAGTAATGGGTTTCTGGTTCCAGATTGGGAGAACTTTCTATACAACTCTATCCATCATTTCTAGCTTTTGAATTCAAGAAGTTGTGGTATCTTGCTTGAATGTCTTTTCATTTAGTGATGGATGGAAATGGAATATAGTTGTACAATCGCATCATGGAATCAGATTCAAAATCTTTCAACATGGTACATGCAGATAAGTAGTTGAGCAAAGCCCAAGACATAGCTCTCTTGGTTGATCTTCCAAACTCTTCAATCACCCAGATATGTTTGTAAGATTCCCACAATGGCCCGTCGCGGTACAAAGACTTTCAGGCAATGTTTCAAAACATCAAAAATCTGAAACTTCATGCTTTCCGAACAGCACTCCAGTAGTCTTGATTCTTCTATTAATTCAACAAATAAAGATATATAGCACTTTACAAACTCCCTTTGAACTCTTACAGCAATAAACTTCATCCTCGAACTAGAATCGTACCCTTTCCAACAAAAAAAGAGAACCTAGAATACAATGCGTTGTTCGGAACTTCAATACGATAACAATGGAAAGCTTACAATCAACTTCGACTATAGAAATTCCACAGCTGTGTGTAACCTTTCACAATATGCCTCGAGCGTCCGAACAATACACTTCAAAATCAAATTCCCAACCCCGAACTGCAACGACTCTGATCTTCCAAGGGTCACAGGAGAAATCGAGGATATTGTCAAGGTCATCAACAACGAATTCACAAACGTGTCCCAATTCGATGTAACGTTCTTCTTACACAGACTCGATGTAAATCAGCTTTCGAGTGCTCTTGCCTTTCGAAGACTTGGTCTCAGAGGATGCAAATTGACTTACTTTGTCGAAGGTGAGTGGACAGATACAGTTGATATAGATTCGGACTGGCTTGAAGACCTTGAACCTATATATGGCGCGCCGAATTACAGTAACTATTATCCCAGCGATAGCGATGAGGGGGAAATATGGATGGCCTCGGACTCGGAGTAGGTGTTAGAAGATAGGGATTGATACTGTGTAGATTACTTTGTTATTGGCCTCATTTTTGGTGTATAGCTAGCAGTCACAGGGAGTATGAAGGGGTATTTGAATACATGTATTCTCTATGACACAGCGCAGTTTCTCGTATAAAGTGAAAAAATTACAGTAGCTGTCAAGAACTTCCCTTTGTCAAGATGTGAACTCAAAGTTTGAGTATAGCTAGTGCCACTTCAGAAATTCCAACTTGGTGTTTTTTTGAAAGTCATATAGTTGTCCTAAAATCATTTGCGGTACACTTAAACTCCTGACTTGGTTTATCTAACCAAATTATACATCTACAACACTTCAGCGTGTGCAATCCCCCCTCCTCTTCTAAGCCCCAAAACCCCTTGTTGTCTCTCGGGAATCTTCCTATATCTCCTAATCTACTTATTCCTCTTAGTTGGAGTTATCCCTCTTCTCTTTCAGTCGACGAGAGGAAAGAAGAGGGAGAGGAAAATGCATACACTATAATACTTTATATTGACACGAGCTAAACAGAGTATACTTTCTGTTGATTTTATATGACACCTAGCTGCAATATTTTGCATTTTTCTACATTATCTATTTGATTTCGTATACTTCTTAATATGAATAAAGACTTAATGTTTGTATTGTTCAGCCGTTGTGGGTTTAGCAATTTGATTTGATTTGATTTGATTTGATTAGGTACTTAAGCGAAATCTATTGATATGTTTCTGAAATATCAACTATGAGCCCCTCATACTTATTGCACTGGTGGAAGAAATGAGCAAGGCTAACAATCAGCGCCTCATCAGATGAACTGAAAAGTGAATGTAGTGATCTGACGGCTTCGATTTACTAAGACTTGCATTCAATGTCCAATGCCCAACACCCGATGTAAAGAGACATTGTCCTGCGTCTATTCTCAAAGGGAGAAATCACTGTGAGTGCGAAAACTCTTAATGTCAATCGATCGGAGAAATCTAATTTATATTTGCATTCGGAACTAAAAATACCGACTAAAGTTGCACGCCCAAAAGAATGCGAACAGATATGAGTGATTGACGATTGTTTTACGGCCGGAAGAATATCCTTGGGATCCATCTGAAAAATAACACGAAGGGTATCTCAGAGCTCTGGTGGATCAATTGTGCATTCCAGTAATTTATTGCAAGCACGTAGAGAATTAGTAGAGTCTGAGAATAGCTCGTGGATGACAGCCATGATCATCTCACCGCAAAGATTTGTGAGCCGATCAACCCCTGGTGAAGTGCCGGAATTGGAGTCTGTACGAAGTTACCGAATTCTGCGCGAAACGAGCGAGCCTAGTGGTATCCCCCTTCGATTTTCCTTATCAATAACGACCAAAAGTTTCCAAGCCGGCTTTAAGTCAGCAAAACAACTTGCAAAATTTGAATAGTTGGTTTTACGTTCATCAACCCGAAAGACAACCTTGATCCTCTCGACTTTCCAATATTCATTGACAAGTAGAACCATTCTTTCAATCATCTTCTTGTCGTTTTGAAACATACGTACCAACAAGTATTGGGGCTTCAATGGTGTGACTTCAATACGAATTTCAGCTGCTTGGTTCAAGAAGAGAGGTAGAATTTTGAAGAATGATTCCTGCAATTCCTCGCGCTCATCCACATACTTGATGTTCTTGCGTAGTCTGTGCTTCTTGGTGTGGTCGATTTTGATGATCAAAAGGCTACCGTGTCGCAAATTTAACCATGGATGGGTGGTAATCTTTCTTTCCAGTTCAGAATCGCGCTTCACTTTGATGATCTTTGGTCCCCTTCTCCAATGGCACTGTAGCGTCCATTCCGTGAAGTTCGGGGTGTGGGGAGGAATAACAGCCTGAAGCTGAGGAATGTATGGGTCGGAGTTTTCCTCCCTCTTTATGTAAAAGATTACCTCTACACTATCGATATCGTTGGATTTATTCAACAAGTCCCTTATATTGGTCAATAATTCGGTCTTCCGAGCGGTATCTTCGTGCGCTCGTCTGTCTCCTGGATCCCGGCATAAAATCTCGATACGGATTCTCCTGGTATATTGTAGATATTCGGGGAGTCGTGCTAAGAAGGCCTTATTACCTCTGCGCTGAGTATGCACTTGCCAATCTTTGTTGATCGTTATGACTTGGAAAGATCCTTCTACAATTTCCAAGCCCTTATGTGGTTCGATATGTGCAGTATCCCGTCTTAAGCGATCGGTTCGATTGAGTTTGTTCTTGCGTTTTGGCATTGTGATACTGAGGAAGATTACTTCGCTATTCTATGGAGATTAGGGAGGTTCGCTGTTATCGAGAAATGATTGGTATGTCTGAAATCTTATGAGACAAGTTGTTTCAATGATAATATGGTCATCAGAGCTCGCAAAGGGCTTCACCTGTGACAAGGCATCATTGTGCATGTATTAGCTGCCACGAGCATTTTGCATGGAAGTAAAGTATACGTTTGTCGCATTGTCTAACAGATTATAGAACATTACCTTTCAACAGATTGATTGATTATAATTTGCGGAAGACTATGACAACCTTTCGAGGAGCACTCATTTAATTCATATTGGATTTCTGTTCTTTGTTGAGGTCTAAGACATCCGACAACAAGTCTCTTCTCGGGCAGGGTGTTCTCGAAAGGTTTTTTACAGATTCGACTCGTAGTCTACACCTGTCTCGAATCAATAATGAATTCAGTTTCATGATTCGAGAGCATGCTCTTGTGGTTCGTTTTTGGCATTTTCTTTATGATGTCCGAGCCTAGAAAGCTTGCTACGTTGGCAAATACTTAAGATCTACAATTTCCCCGAGCATACTAACATAATATCATCATCACACCTCACGCAAACATATCCATCTTCCATCATCCGACAAGAGTTCAGCCAAAAATGGCTACTGTACTTAATGGCATTCCACGCCACCGCGAACTCAGTTACAGTCGCAATAACAGATCTTTAACAATCAACTACGATTATAGCCTCGGTCACACAGAAAGTGAAGGGGAGACGTTGGAGTATACATTAACTCAATATGCCGCCTTCACCGAAAAAGTTGTCGTCAAAATCCAATTCCCCGAAGCAGAGAACAGATTTCGCTGCAACGTTCCAACTTTCGGAATCAGACATACCGTTGATTATGGCCCTCTTAATCAGGAAGAGAATCTACAACGTGTTGCAGATATTGTTCGAGTTCTTAAAAACTTCCGTCGGTTGAGGTCCCTAGAAGTTAGTTTGAGCCTCGATACCGATGACTTCCGCCAAGTTACCTGTGTTTCTCCGTTTTTGGATCTGCGTAGTCGTTGCCAGCAGTGGAGCTTGAGATACAAACGTGGTAGACATGGAAATTATGTTTCTATCGGCCCGGGTTCACCACTTTACACTCGACTCGAAAACTTCAATAATGCTAGAATGTTTGAATGACATAGAATTTTTTCACAGTTATTTTTCTGGTAGGTAGATGAAGGTTCTTCTTGAGGATGATGGGGGAATATATCAGCTAGTTATAGTCAATTCAATCATGTTTACAAAAGCTATACCTTGAGATCTTAAGTTCTGCGAATCTTTCTCAAATAGCCCATATTTTCCTTCGAGCTATGAAATCTAGATGCCACGAAACTTTCAGCATACCATTTCTTTGTCTTGTTGTCAACTGTGAGATATTTCGAAGTCATAATTGTCATTGTTAGGTGAAGTTTCATGCGATTGTGGAGACTCGAATTTTGAGACTTGTCTAGACATATCTATGTCAAGTAGTATCGCAAGAAAACAACGAACTGGTTTCTTCGATGATTCAAGCTGTAAGTGAGTTTCTTGGGAACAAAGACATCCTTCGAGGGCTCATTCTACGACCATCTCATTAGCATCTTTAATAGTCTTAATCTTTCCATAGCCTGACACACATTTTTGGAAGATATATAACCTCAGGTCATTCGCAATAAAATTCTCGTATTATCAACTTGTATCTCATCAGCAAAAGCGCACCTTCATATCAATAACAACAAAAAAATCCAACATCAAGGAAACGATCCAAAAACGCCCAAATGGCTTCAGGTATTACTTGGCACTCTGAGCTTTCATACCATCATGGGATTTTGATAATCAACTACGACTACGAGTATTCCGATGTCAAATACCATATTTCCCAGTACGCCCCTATTACCCGAGGCATCGTATTCAATATCTGCTTCCCCGAACCAGATAACGACAATTGCGGTCTCATAAGAGTCGAGCGAGATCTCTCTGAAATAATTGAAACTCTCAACGACGAGTTCGACTTGTATAGAACTGATGTTATATTCTGGCTACGCGAATATGATATTTCTCAGATTTCTCTTGCTCTTGAATTTCGTCTCCTTAGGGGGTGGACCATGTTTGAGTACTATGTGAGAGCATGTCATCAAGGCACAGTGGAGATGGATTCGGATTGGTACGCGGAATTGATTGGTAGCCATTGTTCTGACGAAAACTCGACTGGTAGCGATAGCGACGAGGAGGTTTGTTATACAAGGGATACCGACTCGGATTAGAATTTGGAGAAAGGAAATTGATATTGGCGGGATGAATGGTCTTGCGGAGATTTCTTTTTGCTCTGTCTTTCTATGTAGATAGAAGATCGAAAAAGAATGCAGGAGACAGCTTGGATGATGCAGGAATAATGAAATCCATGTTATGGTGTGGTTATTCGTAGAGAATGATAGAATATACGAGTCTTTTTATCACTGAAACGGAACCCTCGAGGTTTTGCTGGGAGCTACTGCCATTTTGAAACATACAGTGGTAGTTCATTTCGATGTGACTTATGCAAATTTTCTGATTTTTTTTCATTGCTTATGCGCAACTTCAGAGATGGAAATACTGAAAAAAGTTAGGGATGAGTACAAAAAAATAATACGCAAGGAAACAAATGATTATGCGGGTCACAACGGCGGTCAAGCAATGTGCATCACTGAAATTTCTAGTTTCACAAGGCACTTCATAAAGGACAGAAGAGGTACATAATTGGTATGTAACTGGATGGTATTGTCTCAGTAACTGCCTGATACATGCGATCATCTGTGATAGAATGATGAAATAAGTCAATTAAAAACCATGGTACTAGCACCCGCTTCGCTAAAGCCCCTTCATTCTGCGTAAGCCACACATACACCATGAAAACCCAATAAGATCAACTCCCATATGACATTACTTCGGTGGAATAAGCTCTGTCCTGTTCGAGGGAAAAGTTGATCTTGTGCAGACTTTCCCGCTTCCCAAAACACTATGACTGGTCACTGTTTAGCCCCTTTCCATCCCCATCTGCCCTTCCCTTCCGACTCTACATCGCATAATGTTGTAGCTTTCTCTCTACAACTCGTAGCTCGCGATCAACTTGGGAACCTGCAAGGATCTTTTGGGCCTCTCTATCTTTGATTTTCAATTCAAAAGCCCAGTCGATGAGCTTGAGGCGATAGATAGAAGATGCGGTGTCAATTTGCTTCCAGTTGAATCGATCAACCGCAATAACGAAAGAGATCTCCTTGATGTGAGGGAGATTGTTGATCTGTTCAACAACTTGAGCCAGAATATCACGTCTGTCGATACACTCAATATCTTCTTCAGGAGCCTTGAACGTCATCTTCAAATGGATGATGTTTGTATCATTGCCATATCTTGGGATGATTTCGAGCAAAGAATCAAATTCGTCCAGCTGTTCTCCAGGCAATCTGGTTGTAAGAAAATCGAGATCAATAGAGAGAGCTGCATTGCTAGGCGCATATTGTACCATATCGTGTGCAGGGATATCAGCAACACGATCAGCACGGCGGGTGGCTCTGTTGCGGCGGTTGGCATTTGATTTTGGTCCCTTATGGTTGGCCATTTTGAATGATGTAGTTTTAGAAATAGGTTTCAGTGGAATTCTGAAAAGTGTGGAAAGTTGTTGTGATGATGAAGTTTGAAAGTTTTGTTGAAGGTATTGTTGAAGTTGTCGTTGAAGGTGGGTGCGGTCGAAGGTGTTGTTGAAGGTGCTATTGAAGGTCCTATTGAGAATGATGTAATGAGAAGAAGATTGAAGGAGGAAACTCAGAATCTCTTGAACCTTTATGATTCCAGAAGAAGACACTAATACCAAATACATGCACATGTCGTACTTCACTGCCGTACATGATTCTCTCGGGAACAGTTTGTACTGGCGAGACAGTACAAGTGCTACGGTCAACGAGCGTAGATATTAGGTACGGCGTTATATAATCAGTATCAAGATTGAGACTCAAAATGTATATATTAATCAGGAAAATCATTCATAGCACGGTGACTTGAGAAGAATAAATGGAGTGTGTATGTATAGAATCATCGTTTTGGAAACGGTGGTCTCCCATCTCAAAAGAAATCCTTCCGTTATACAATTTCAACCGTCCACCGCTACTCAAAAGCTCTGAATTGATCAACAAGTTCTCTAAAAGAGCTCTATACTATCCTAGAATCATGAAGAAGTCGCAATAGAAGCAGAACTCTCTATTTCGATTTTCATGGGGCTAGAGAAACTCAGTTCCTCAGATATGATACTAAGGTGTAGAAAATGACTAATCAAGATGATTTATTACTATTATCAGCAATCTGTATCCAATCTGCAAAATTGTGAAAACTGTGTGTTTTTGGGAGTTCAAGCACGGATACAAGAGACAATGTAATTCCCTAATTCGAGCGAGGGTATTGTGTCTTCTGATACCTGTCTTATTCTCATGTGGAGCTTTGAACTAGGCTGCGCAATATGTATTTGAACAGGTATTTTGGAGCATGCTCAGTACTCTTGCAAGATATTATGGGGTATCTCGAGAGCAATTCATGAAAAACAACGATCATCAAGTCGTTAGTCACTTATAACTTGAGAGCAGCGATAATCTAAATGTAGACTGAAGTCCTCAGCTGCTTTAGGGTCCTCATGCTGAGGAACTGGGGCAGATTTCTCGGTAAGAACATAGAATTGAGACAGAAACTTGAAGACTTGGGGTGGAGTTTTGAGACTCTTGAGACGACTTTGAGTTTTTGGCTTGTTTCGAGCCTTAAAGATGCTATCCAGTCATGTTTAGAAATACAATGTAGTTAGGATTTTACACCCTTGATAAGAAGTACGATTATAAAAGTCAATTTCTGCGACCTGTCTTGAGAGAGAAATATGAACCCTTCAGTTTTTCTTACTCTGCTTACAGACGGGCCTTGCTCTGCAACTTTTTCAAGTGTCCTTCGACAGAATCTGTGTTGTCTTTACTTTCCTACTTCAGAGGTACAACCTCCCCAGGATTCGATCATTCCCGTCTTGTTCATTTCATGAATAAAAACGATGTTTACTTCTGTATCCACCTAGACAAAATTTGCCTTGCAACTTAAGCATTTATTCTATATATCTAGGAAAAGGAACCGATTTCCCCGGAAAGCGATACCAGCCAGACTTTAAGCGAATATCTCCCCGCAATGTACCTCAACTAAATGTAGATCAACAACAATCTTATCACTTTGTTCCGCGGATTAATTTTCATATATCCTCAAAATATTACCATACCATGGAGCTCTAGTTCTCAATCCTACTCGTATGAACATAGTTTTGAATCTTCAAAAGGTGGCATACGCTCGGTTATTATAACTTTTGTAAAATAAACCGACGATTTAAATAATCCTAATTTTATAGTATCACATTTCAGGGCTGAGTCAATCCAGTTCCCATTATCCTGATAAAAACGCGTAAGTGCGTATTCGCACCTGTGGTTTTCGAAGTTTGGAATCTGGTGAATCCATTAGGAAAAGATCAACGTTCGGGAGATGTACATTAAATACTCCATAGTTTTCTTCTTAGGCTTCAGATCCATGTTCGTACCTGAATATGCATGATTACATGAAGTTAGGATCTCTATGGTAAGTGTTCAAATAATACCAGGGCAAAATATTGACCAGTCGTCGTAATGACCAGTCCCACATTTATAAGTTCGGCGCATATGATAATCGCCGATATATTTTGGATATCGGCACTTTACTGATGATATGATCGATCGTGAGGTAGTGGCTTCCTTTGCCTTGTAGACTTGTAAGCTCTAAATTTATCTTGAAGAAGTATCAAGGTAAATAGGTGGACTCTGAAAACGATCTTCGCCAGGTTATTGGCTAAATAGCAAATGGACAGTCCATTCGAGCAAATATTCCTGACGAGAGCTTAATTGGGCCTGCTACAAAAGTAAACAGAGAGAATAATGTTCTCTATTACGCGTCGCCGCTACCACAAGGGGTTTTCAAAGTCCTTCTCGGAGATTACTCCAATTCTTGACCTTTTCGATGGTCTGTGATGAAATGGGGGTGAAGACGTATCGTAACCTTAATATATAAAGGACAGCAGAAATACTCGACACTTTAAAATTATATTGTTCAAATCGAAGAAGTTTGAACATTCATCTGCAATGGCTAAACTTCTATTGCTGTCCATCGCCGCATTGGCTACACTGTCACATGCTCTGACTCCAAACTGCTCCGTAGCAGCTTTTGAGGCGATCGTTCCACCCACCGCTACAGTGGTTTTGGTCCAGGAAGTATCTCAAAATGCCACGTTCACCGTGCCAGTTGCCGACACTGGATTTCCAACCAACCCGGCACGACTACCTGCTCTCTGTGCCATACAGATTGAGATGTCCACGGAGGCAGGCACTACTTTCAATTGTGGTCTCTTCCTTCCCAAGAACTGGACTGGCCGCTTCTTGTATGTATATAACTGTGGACAAGATGTACTTCACAAAATCGTATGCTGATTTGTTCAAGGACTTCTGGAAATTCTGGGTTTGCTGGAGGTGTCAATTATCTTGAAATGGTATGATTACTACTCGGATCTCATTACCATTCAAATATCACTATATACGTTCTGTTTATCAGATGCTAATGACAAGAAATATAGGGTGCTGGTGCCTCTTATGGTTTTGCCGCTATGTCGACTGATACTGGACATGATTCAAGTGTATTTGGTAACGCTTCTTGGGCCGTTGACCCTGAATCCGTAACAGATTGGGCTTGGCGTGCCATGCATCTGTCTGTTGTCGCTGCCAAGGAGGTAGTTGAAGCATACTATGGCAAAAATATCACTTACGGTTACTACAACGGCTGCTCCACCGGAGGACGACAAGGATTAAAGGAAGTCGAGGAGTTCCCAGACGACTTTGATGGTGCAGTAATCGGTGCCCCTGCTTGGTGGACTGTCCATTTACAACTATGGAATGTTCAAACGGCGCTTTACAATTATCCATCAACCGCGCCTGGCTACATCCCAAGCAAATGTTTTCAGTTATTGCCGCTGAGAGTCTTAAACAATGCGATCCTCAAGATGGCGTTACTGACAACATTATTTCTGACCCTCGTGGTTGTCACTTGCGGATCGAAACCTTACTCTGTGCTGGAAATTCTACTACTGACTGTCTAAATCCAGCTCAGCTCGACACTCTGTATCACTATTACAATGACTGGGTAATTGGTAACCAGACATTCGTCTTCCCTCACTTTGAGATCGGTAGCGAAGGTCTCTGGGGAGGCGGTTCGTCACCCGATCTCGACTACCCACAATATTTCCTTGGTTTAGGAACCAATTTCACTGCTGATGATTGGGATCCCGAATATCTTGTCGCGTTGTCTGAAGCTCTCAACCCTGGCAATGCTACTGCTGACAATTTCGATCTTTCTCCCTTCTATAAGAAGGGTAGCAAGATTATCCATTACCATGGTATGGCAGATAATTCTATAGCGACCGCCAGCAGTGTATACTTTTACGAACATGTGTTGCGCACTTTAAAATCCCAAGGCATTGATCTGGATGACTTCTATCGATTTTTCTTGGTCCCAGGAATGGAGTGAGTAAATCTCAACAATCAAATTGTCGAAAATGTTAGCACAGAGTATCTAATAACTTCGAAATAGGCATTGCAGTGGAACTCCTTCTACCCAGAACGCGCCTTGGTACATTGGAGGTACTACCCAAGCATCGGTCATTGGCGATGATTCCACCGGTTATTGGATCCATAGTAAGCCTGGTTTTGACAATGCTCAACATGATGTATTGCTTGCCTTGATCGACTGGGTCGAAAATGATACCGCACCAACTCAAGTTATTGCAACTAAATGGAATGATGAAGCTACATTGGATTACGTCACCAACCAACGACCAATCTGTATGTACCCTCAACAGGCAAAGTACGTGGGTACTGGAAACACAAGTGTTGCAACCAACTGGGAATGTCAATCACTTTACTAGAGAACGAGTGCCTTTATCTGTACATAGCGTCAAAACGGCTCTGATCAGGCTAATATTCTCTTGCTTGCTTTAAAGATAGGATTTTAAATTCCAATTCATGAAATGGATACTGCGAATTTTGGACGCAGTAATTGTAAAAAATGCCATGGTCTTGCGGTCTAGAAAGTTTGTTAAGCATGAATAAGATCAAAGCTATTGAAGCTGATCAAAGTAATACAAGCAATCAGAAGTTGACAGAAAGTACGGGAACTGAAGTTTTTTTCTTTTCTTATGCAGTAGCTATTAGCCGTGTTATTGAAATTGAGTGGTATCATACAAGAAACGGTTCATGGGCCAGCCCCAGAAATTATATACTATAGTAACACTTGACGCTGCCACCCAATTTCGCATCATCGCCTAACCTGCGATGATTATCGCAAAGGTAAATGGTAAGGTGTGGGTAGATGCATCCTTCACCCCGAAATATCCGTAGTCTAGGGAATAGATTCGCTTAAAACCCACATCTTCCATCACCAGCACATCTCATCATTGAAATGAGAGCTTAATTTACAATCAATGTCAGAATCAATCTCAACTGCGTTCTCCGCACCATTCTCGACAATGTCGAAAGTCCAGTGGGGATGGTCCAATCCATAGATGGCACTGACGGGCTTCACCTGTTCCCAGTAAACTCTTTGTACAGACATTGAGACTCGAACCGAGTCAAGTTGGCGAAACTTGTTAAGCTCATAGACGACGTTAGCCATGGCCCAATGGCGAGCAGCTTTGGTGTTGTTGTTGATGACATCCATGTGGGGGATTCCATATGCAATATCGATATGGATATTGGTTGCATGGGTCGAGTATTTCGGAAGAATCTTGATTAGAGTCTTGGTGAGCTTGTTATGCTGAAATGGAGAATTCAAACCAGCAAAGTCAAGTAAAATGTCTAACATCTTATCACTGCCATTAAATTTGAGCCACGGATGGACGGGAATTGCTGCAATCTCCCAATCATTCTCCTCTTGGAGAGCGAGTTTCGCCAATTGTATTTCCACACGACGAGCTTGAAGGGTACGGTGGACCGCTTGCACAATGAAACCGCCAGACATAGTGTTCAGCATTTTGCAGTGAAGAAAAGTATTTCTTGTTTGCTTTTGGATGGATGTCTCGAGAGAAAGATGGGGGGAGTTAGTGAATTATGAGAGGGAATAGTAGGTAGAAAGGCGTCTCTTGTAGAAAATTATTGCTGAGTGGTACTGTTACTAGATGAGTTCTATCATTAAGTAGCAAGAGAAAGGAGTAACGTGCTGTAAGAATGATGTAGTCAGCTTGAATTTGACGTCATATTGATCTAACAGGGAAGGCTAAGATGTTTAGACTCATGCTGTACAATACTGACTGCACGCATAGAAGATGTCAGAAAATTAAAGATCAGTCAGCCAACCGTAGCATTTGAAAGGGTTGTATCATGCATGTCATTAGTCTCAACCAAATGGCGGTACCTTACGGCACTAGTGAAAAGTGTGGTTTGCGAGCGAGTGATCATGCACCACCAAGAACAATGCATAGTTATTGAATATGTAGAATTGTTTTGGCTGAAACTCCCCAGTATCTAGTTTTATTACACTGGGGCAGTTTACTCGTCAGTACATAGACCTCTGCATCATGCAGGAAAGTTCAATCGAACAATAAAAGAATATTCAGATTGTAAAGATTGTATGGATTAAACGTGTTAAAGGAAAACAAAAAAAAGCAACGATGGAAGCAGATTCTTTCCACGCGCTGCAGTAAATCACATACTACAAAAAGCTGCAAAGAATACAGAGAGACACAACTGGCTTGTAAACCAGCACTTGTGGTTCAACACTCCGAAATTCTAGATGACTACTCTCGAAAGCGGGCATGAAGAACATGTGAATGGCACATGAGTAAGATGCCAGCTCTGGGTCCAATCAACAATTTAAACCATAGATTAAAAATCTGTCTCTATAAGCTTCACGCCGTATTTAGGGCCTGACTGCTCCTGTACACAATTCGTGAATAGCATCAAGTGCCACGAGCCTCAATGAAGTAAACGGACAGCGAGCTAGATTCGAGAAAGGAAAACTGACTTCCATCTGCAGAATCGCGTGGTCGCTCCTTTCCCGCAAAAATGCTTAGAAAACACCTAGGCATGGCTCGTGAGTGACTACGATGCAATTTACATGAATGAAAAAAACTTCTGAGAATAGCTAGATGCTTTAACTAATTATTGTACCAACACCATGGCGGTTTGATGAGTAGCTTGACCATGTCTTAGGGTGTGAAAAATTGATGTCGTTCAAAAGCAAAAGGAAAAGTGGGCCACCAGTCTGATTGAGAAATTTGATTGGCAGGGAAAGAACAGCTGCAGCAAAATGGAGTGCGAACTCTATTTTATACACTCAAAATGATAACGTGATTCCAGAATGTGATCTTTTTTCTTAGTTTCATGCACTTTTACACAAATTTTATCTTGTAACTGGAAATCTTCCAATTTGAAGCTGTTTTGATTGAATTAAATGTGATTGAATTTCGAATTTTATATTCGACTGAAACTAATGAGGCTCTACTTAGGAGAACAGAGAGACCAAATTTGATCACACTAATAAATAAACGGATCAACCGATAATAATATAACAAAAGTTAACAACATTGAATAAATCCATGAAAAATCTTCATTTCATGAAATTACTTAAATGTTTAATTTTCTGAATTGGAATGGAACAATTGAATTGTTAAAGGGCTTTGCCAGTGGTCAACTGCCGCCCGTTTTTTCTCCTACGAAGAGTGAGGCACAAAAATCACGTCTAATTATGGGTGAAGGAGTTATTAAATCGGATGTATGTATGGTGTTCTACTCTTTGATTAAATGCCAAATCGAACATCATATGATCATGCCACGTGAGGTATCATGGCAAACGCATGTGGTTGTAGAAGGCCAATTCCCATAATTTAAGGACGGCACTTGTGCTTCTCTCAGGCCACAATGCCACATGAGATTGCAAACTTTAAATAAACGGTGTTCTGTCTGTCGTTTGGTCATATCACAGCAGCAATCATGATTAAAGACTTAGTTGCACCAATACATGGCATCACGAAGTTGGATCAAAATATTCAAAGTTGGAAACGGATTGAGATTTAATTCCGCCCCCTTTTGTCTTCCACTAAAACACCCCCTTTAAGCAAACAACTCCACAAGGGACCATGCTAATACATATATACAAGACGAATCAGAAACCACTTCCTAAGCCATAGCCTTTTCATCCAACCCTACTCATACATCTTATCTACATACGCTTATGCGACATAGCTGACAAGAGTGTCGAAGTATTGGGCGTAAGCAGCACCGGTAGGTGGCTCGAAAGCGTAGATGTAATCATTCCACCATGGGCCAGCACCCCACCACAAAGCACCCAACCAGTACTCGTTATCGGCAGCCAAAGCATCCAACATACCAGAGATAGCAGATTCACAGTCAGCGTTGACACCACCAGCAAATTCTCCAATGACACCCTTGAGGTTGTTGGTCTTGAGCCATGCGGTAGCATCGGCGATACGCTCAGCACCAATGGTGCTGCTAACACAGGTAGCAGAGGTTCCGGATCCATCAGAGTCGAGGTATTGATGGAATTCGTAGACAAGCTTGTCTTCAGGATCGGTGATGTTCAACATGGAAACGGAGTTTCCGGATTTAACCCAGGTCCAGGCACCAGTGTAAGAAGTTCCTAATTAACATGTTAGTATAAAAGGTTTCCAGATATTAAGAGAAGTTTGGAGAATGACTTACCCTCAACAAAGATGTATTGGGATGTTGCACCAGCGCCACGGATAGCGGTAACACAAGCTTGGTTAAGCTCGGCATAGATGGTAGCGGTAGGCTCATCGTGAAACTCGTTGTTGCAATCGAAGATGACCTTGGAGTTGTCGGCGAACTCGGTAGCGAGCTTGCCCCAGAAGCCACCGAAGTCGGAGGTGGAGGTGATAATGGCTGAGTCATAACGTCCAAAGTTGTGAGCTTCCACAACTGCGCTTGCACCAGCGGCGGTAATATAATCGATGACCTCCTTGTAGCTAGCAAGATAAGTGGCGTCGAGGTCAGCGGTGATGCTGCTTTGGGCCATACGCTCCAAAAGGAATGGAACACGGAAAATGTTCATGCCACCATCAATCAAAGTTTGAATGGCGGTGGTGTTTGGGAAGGTGTAATCTTTCTCAACAACACCTGGGAGGTTGGTTTGACCGAACTCGGCTCCAGACTCGCTGGCACCGATCCATTGCAACTTGCCGGCAGTTGTACTGCTGGATGCGGCAGCGACGGGTGCAGCCTTGCTAGGGGAAGCGGCAGCTGGGGAGGAAGAGGCAGCCACTGCAGCAGCGGACGAAACGGCGGAAGAACTAGCAACAACCGGACTAGCGGCTGAAGAAGCAACGACGGCGGCCGAGGTCATGACGGCAGTGCTTGATGGTGCAACTGAAGTGGCTGCAACGACAGCGGCGGAGGAAGAAGGAAGGGTGGTTTGAGCTACAACGGCAGCGGAACTGGTCTCATCGTCGTAATCGGCAATACAGCTATCATCCTCATCTCTAACAGCTACCGGAGCTGCGAATGCGGTTGCTGTAAGGCCAGCTGCCAAAACAAAGTTTGTGAAACGCATAGCGTAGAATTGAAAAAGAGAGCGACTGAAAAAATGAATGAATGAATGACTGTAGTGAGAGTGGTAAGGAAGAGTAAGAAAGAGGGAAGCTTAAATCGGGAGGAGGAAGTATTTATTCAGAAAGTGAAAGAGATGAGATCTCACGATGCTCCACTTCATCAATTAATTAACCCCATTCCCCCTCTCATTTAGAGTTGACAACTTATCCTAATGGCAAACAACGCTCCGGACCCTCTCTGTACTTTAATTTCATGACACTTTTCTTTTTCGGGACTCAGCGTTTCGCTCAAATTCTGTAAACAGATGAACACTATGTGATTATGACGCGAATCACTAAATAAC